TACTCTTTCCAAAACTCAAGACTAAAGTGAATATGTTGTTATTGTAAATTTATTTAATCATAAAATTTGAATCTTCAAATATTTTCAAGTTCTCAAAAACTGATCCAACACATGTCAGTTTTTGGATTTTTAAAACTTTCACTCATAAAATTTCAAAAACAGTCATATAAAATACATGTCCAAGCACGACCTCAAATTTTAAAAAATCACAACTTCAATCATTAGAAACTCAAATTTAAAGTTTTCATTTTAAAATCTATGATCAAACCGAAATAATTGTCTAGAAATATATAAGTACTACTTACTTTTAACATGTGGAGAATCATCATCATCATCAGAAGATTCAGTTTCTTCTAGAACTGACACAGGGCTGAGTTGTTTACTTTGTTCAAGAAATTCCACTCTCGACTTTCTTCTCTCTTCAAAAACCTGTTACCTTATCAACAACAAATCTGAATTCAATGTCATAAAACTAATTTTTATTAAGTGAGTCGCTAGTAAAGTTGTACAACTTTTTTTTTTTTTTTTACGAATTTCACCTATATTAAATATCGTAAAAACAGAGTTTTTACCTGTTTTTCATGTAGAAAGTTGTCATCTGCATCACTAGAATCATAACAAGAATTGAACACATTACTCCTACTACTTATTGAAGAAATTTTCTCATCATTTGCAATAACATTACTATTTTTGCTTGTAGAATTGTTGTGTTCTTGATCATTTGCCAAATTCTTGATTTTTTGACTATCTCTAAATGTAACAAGTTTGTTAAACATAGATTTCACAATCTTTGAACAATTAAGAATCTGTTTCCTTCTCTTCTTTGCACCACAACTAGCTGATCTCTTCAAGAACAAATAAGTACTAGAATTTGTAGAACAACATCGAAAATTGCGATCCGAAATAAGATGTTTGTTTTTAAATTGACCTCTTTCAAGAAGATAGATTTGTAAGGTAAATGGTTCTTGTTGTTCTTGAAGGAATTGTCCAAGTTGTTTTGACATAATTCTATGTTGGTAGTAATAAATTTTGAAATGACTAAATGGGAATGGGTAGAAAAGGCAAAAGGATAAGGAATTTTGGGCATTAATTGGGAGAGACAATTTAATATGTAGGCATCTAATGTGTATATTACACAAGTGTTTGTTTGGATCAGAATAGTGCTGCAAATTTAAATTTAAAGGGATGGGGGCATTGGAAAAAAGACAAAAAAAATGATTCACTTTTTGTGCAACAATTGGATTTTTTTCATATTTTTTTTTTACCTAACTTTTTTTTGTGTCCATGCAATCTAAAGTCAATGAGTGAGCTAGCCAGGTATTTCTATAGTAAAAGCTATACAAAGCCTTGAGAAGGTGGGTGGCTGCTAGTTGTCCCACCTCAGGGAAAAAAATAATTAAGTTATATATACGGACAAAATAAATATGTTTTATACTATTAATGTAGTTTAGCTTGTGATGATGGCCATTCTCAATATTATGTCTTGAAGATGATTTATCGTTAGTGTCAATTTTTTGAATTTCCACATTTTTTAGGATGAGATTTTAAGTTTCGCGTGTATACTATTCACCATCAAGATTCAAGGCAGGGGAGGGGCATAACTATAGTAATGTCAGGTTTACTATCAAGGCAAAACTATAATGGTGTCTGGATGGTGAGTCTAACATTTTTTATCGAAAAATTATATTATATATGTATGTTAAATTTACTTTATATTGACATATAGATAAAAGATTTAGAACATTCGATATTAAATCAATAATCTTAAAAGCGAGTTTTATTTTCTGTATGATATCTATCTAAGGTAATGTATGATAATATATGACAAAGATGGACCTATTGATCTTTCATGTCATATGCGTCTGAATCGACAATCAAAACTAATTTTCAATTCACTCAAAAGGTGAATAGGATCTCAATAGAATTGGGATTTCTATTAAGTGACTTGATTAATGCTTATTGAAAAAATTATTACTTATAACGGATCTTATATTTTTTAAATGGGTTGATCCTTTTTTATTTTTTACTCTTTACTAACTTATGCATTAAGCCTAGCTAGGGAAGCATAAGTTTTTTAGAAAAAACTAAAGTAATGCTAAGGCATAATTATTTAATATTATGATATAAAAATATAAATTTACGGAAAAATTATTTGTTATTGGGACATAATTAAATACCAAACACATAATATGACAAAAGTGCTACGTCCCATAAATTAAGGGGCCGTTTGGTTTGGGTTGTGGAAAGAATATTTCCCACATAAATTTCTGCATTATGATTTTTAAAATCATAATTTTATACCAACAATCAAACATCCAATAATAAATAATCCTTATATTACCTATATTTACTAGTTTGTACCTATCTTTCTTCTAACCCAAAAAGGAAAAATAAATATTTGCACTATATAATAAATTATTAAATCCATTCATAAGTCATAATCAACAAATAAAAATTGGGGTTGGGATTGAGCAAGTAGGGGGAAATAATTTGTCTTTCCTATCCTATATGCATGTGCATCATCCTCAAACTTCTTTTTCATGTCCCCTTATCTTTTCCACCCTAGCTAACTTCTTTAATTAATTTTGACAACAAATTTGGTGGGAAAACATTTATATGAGCTTATTATATTATATATATTTTTGGAAAGCCACATGGTAACATAAAACTCAAACCTACTTCCTTTCAACATTTTAAATAATTCATTTCACTTGCAATGGTAAAATCTTAGATAAGTTTGTGTATTTGAACTTTGTGTTATATCTTGTACTTCTGCTATAATAATATATTCAGTGAAATTTTACTAAGTGAGATCTATAGAGGTAGAATATATACAGATCTCATAACGGTCTCATAAAGATAGAAAAATTATTTTCAAAAGATCTTTATCTCAATTTATTAAATTATGATATTCTCTTTGTCAATAAAAAATAAGTTATGTCACGGTCGTATAAGACCATATAGTATCTTCTTATATCCACACATGTCTGCCTAAAAAATTGGCATTCAAAAATTGTTGTTGGAGTATATATATATATATATATATAGAAATTAAAACATTTCGTTCACTTTATCTTTTTTTTTATAAAAAATATATTAAAGACATGATTAATCAGTAGTGAAGATTTAATATGTTAAGAAATATATAATTTTACATGTGGAAAAAGAAATGAAAGAATAAATACGATGTATAAACATAGTGTGTCAGCTACCATTTGATTATATTGCACCAACAAACATTCATTGTATCGTGTAGATTTTTCCTCAATAATTGTTGAGACAAGGCGCTGTTTGTTTTCATTATTAATAAATTATATTTCTTTGTAAGTCAGAATAGGAGGAATTTCGCAAAAATCTTCCATTTTTTGTCTCATATTAATATAGAAGTTAATATATTAATTAAATCACCAATAACATGCAATAAGTTTGGGGGTTGTTGCATTAATCAAATGTCACCAAACACATCTGTTTTGCCGAAGAAATTAAATATCCGAATTAGCTTTGAGAAATCCAGTAGATAAAATGTTGTTATTTCATATTAATAGTTTGACGATACCTCTAGCGATTTTTGGTACTTCGCTTGATGAAGTTTAAAAGACTGAAAATTTAACGTCTTTAATTAAAAATAACGAAATACATATTGGTCACCCTGTCGGAGTCGTACGGTGTGATTGCTCGTTTTTTTTTAATTTATCTGGAAACTCAACTCCTTAAATTAAAGTTCTTTTCAATAAGGACAGTCGTTTATTAGGGTATTTAAGAGAGTGACACTGGAAATAATTATGGGACTTTTCTTTTTCCATTTCATTTTTTCATTAATATTTGATGAGGACACCTAATCTTTACTTTCTGGTGAAATTGTAAAAAACTTCATGAAAAAAGAAAATGATATAATTGAGGTCCAATGTTGAATATGAGGTTATACATGAGACACGTATTGCATCAATCTTCATTCGCTTTCGAGAAGAAGAGGTATCTACCGAGGAGGCAGAGTCAGAATTTAAAATTTATAAATTTTGAATTTATCGTAAATTCAAAAATTGTTTTAGTTATTGGGTTTACCATTATATGTTCATATATATTTAGTCAATTTTCTGATACGAATACAAAGTCTAAGTACAAATTTATTGAATTCATACTAGCTCCGCTCCGTACCCACGTGAAAAAAACAAAACTAAATGCAAAACAAAAAGGTACAAAATATACTGAAGTCTTCAATGATTTATTCATAGTAAACTCGTGACTTTGCCGGAACAAAAAAAATTCAAAAATTTAAATTAATTTATAATATGCAGAATAACAATTTAAACTGTTTCCTCTTGTGATAAAGTATTTGCAAACTCAACATATATGTATATTTTTGAAAAGAAAATTCAAATACATAACACTGCCCCAGGGATGGAGCCATGGGGTCCCAAACACAATTGCAATTGTTTTTGTTACAGAGGCAAATATAACTTTTTGGCATGGAATATAAATTGACTAACAAATTCATTGCTAAAAATTTCAAGGTCGAAATAAGTTTAAATATTGGATCCATCTTTGACACAAAGCAGTAGGTAAAAAGTTACTGGCTAGAAATCAAACATTCCCTGAACAGAGAGAGAATCCACAGCTTATTAATTAGCCTTCAACAGCTTGTTGCAGTAAAAGAGTTATGGGCACACAGTAGATGATTTGCTAATGACTTAACAATGGAAGACCATACTGTTCATGTGCACTTATTTCAAACTTCAAATATGAAAAGACAAACAGATATCAAATCTGCAGGGACTATCTTCATTTCTGCTCAGGATAAAACTAGTACTTTGTCTCAGTAAACATCATGCACTAAAAAACATGCACAGAGTTGGGACAATGAGTACCATTATAGTCTTATTTCCCAGGTATGGCCATCTGACAAGTGCTATGTACATGTATACATCACAGAATTGTGTCTTATTGGATGAAGTCTCATTTGAAAATTGACATTACAAGAGTGGTTAGAGGTTCAAAGGTAATTAGGTACATAACGTTGTAAAACTCGTATTAACAACAGGAATTAAAAGTTATACAGATAGATTATTCAATTTATAATGTGGTCTGGAACAGTTTTAAGTTAAATTTGAATACATAATAAGAAGCAAGAATAAAGACAGCACTAACAAACTGTGCATGAGTTTGGGAGAATTTCAACTCTTAGAATCCAGGAGATCTGGATATTGAAATTGGCTTCTGTGCCTTAAAACTGTCCATCACAGAATCAAAGTCACTACGAAGGGAGACAAGGGATCTCTGTCGAAATGCAAAAGCAGCAGTAAACTGTTTAATCTCTTCTTCAAGGTGTTTCCTCCTCTGAACTTCGGCATTCAAATTGTCTAATACCTTTTCGTTTTGGTTAGCAAACAGTTCGAGTTTCTCGCTTGAAGAGGAAACATTTTGTACCAACACATCCCTCTCTTCTTTCAAGAGGTGAACCTCCCTTTCTAAGCTATTATATCTATCCCTGGAAGCGGCAAGAAGCTGATTATTGAGTTCCAACTCCTTTTCCAAGTTCTGGTATTTTTCCTGGACCGTTTTCATATCTTCATCCAGTTTCTTCTTCCAACAAGCAATTTCTCCAACCAGAGTGCAGTCCTTGATCATGTTAAAAACATACACTTAAGAGAAAAGGAGTAAAAGCGTCTATAACTATCAAGACGTTTAAGCTAAGGCATGACTCCCCTTTTGGTTTAACTACTGATGGTCATGGACCTCACAACTTAAAATAGCATGAGCCTTGAACTTAGCAGATAATATCCCATAGTCAGAATCGAAAAGCATGTAAAAATTAACAAGTGACACCTTGAGAACTGTGACTGGGCAGCTACCTTATATTGGGAACCGAGTGATGGATTCCCTGAGATTTCATCATCTGATAGTACAAGTGATGAAATTGTTCTATTCAACTTATCATAAACCTTCACATGTTGCGCTTCAATTGAAGAATTATTTCTGGTAGAGGACTTATCACTGTCCATAGCTTCTGAGAAGTGAGGTTCCAGAGTTGAAAAAAGACAAGTACCAATCTCATTTGTTGTAGAGAGCAATTTCGCCATTCCAGATTTGTCGGTAGCTACAAAGTTCTGTTCAAAGGACAAGAGGAGGCAGATATTACAAAGCGAACTTCACCAGCCACAGTAATTAGCCAACTTACACTATATGTAGGCATTACCTGTATGACTGAAAAGACGTCCTTGTATAAATCTTTACAAGTTGTCACAGACGCGCAGAATCTTTGAGGGATCTCACGGATCAAAAGTGCCTCTTGCTGGAGTTCAGATACCTCACTCATTAACTGTTTATTTAGTGATACTTGTTCTGTATGGTGCCTCTGAAAAATAAAGATTTAAAAGGTTAAGCTGAGAACTTAGTGCTGCATAAAACAAAAGAACATAGTTTATCTTTTGTCCCCCCCCTCAAATGACTGGTTTGTACTTTATTATGAGATGTCAATCAAAATTTAGTCTCTTGAAAAGAACTTGGACCATGAAGATTGAACATCTCAATCAGGAAAAAGCGTCTTAAGCAATTGAATGCTAAAACGGGTGGTCAGTAACCGATCAAATAAACGAGCATTAAGTAACAATAAAACGATTGCAATAGATACTTACCCTAAGTTCATCTCTTTCCTCTGAAACAAGTTCCAACTGTCTTCTGAGATTCTGTACCTCTTGCTTATAATTCTCTGTTGACAAATCCTGGTAGAAATTCGGATAAGTCTTACAAGTATGCATGTAAGAACTTTGTTTATCAAGTATAAAGATTTGATAAATAATTGGAGGACAACTGAAACTGCAAATCATAATATCCAATACAGTTAATCCATGTTAATAATTATAAGATGAAAAAGATGATTGCCCCATTCTCTACCCCCTTTCCCTTGGAGCACTAAGAAAGCAGTTAGATAAGGGTGAACCAGCAGAAACTCGTGCTAATAACTATTTGCCCATCAGATAATGCATGTAACTTTCCCAGTATAATTGAAATTAATATAAAGCAAATGATCCCGAATTCCGTTGGAGAAAAGAGAGTAAACTATACTGGGTCACAATGGCATAACTACTAGAAGCAGCTGTAGGAACAGTTCAGGTAAGAAGCAAAATTTGCAGCATATGTGAGCAAAAGTGGACTCACATCATTTTCATTATCGAGTAAAGATGAGTTAACTTTCACTGCAGGAGTCATGTGAAGTGAATCAAGATCAGCAACAAAGCCTTTATTCATTTTCATCCACATATCTTCATCTACAAAATTGCTAAAGGCATCTGGCATAGGGCTGTATTCTGTCTGTTGAGACCGTTGCGATCTCTTAGCAACAAAGGCATTGGGAGCCACCTTCAAACAAGGGGTACTAAAAGCATCTTCCTGGAAACTGTTACTATTACCGCTTTCCTCCTGGTTTTAGAAATAGAAATTGAACTTCAGTACCATACACGTAAAACAGAGATAAATTGGGATTCAAATTAGAGCTCTTCTATAAACAGCATGAGGGAAACCATTATCTACTTTTTTTGGTGGTAATTTCAAATAAGAATTACAAGTTTATCAGAAAAATGTAAGAAAAAGCTAGCTAAAATCCTATATGGCAATTGAAATGGAACAAAAAATGCTAAATTTATGCTATAGAAATAGAAATATAACAAAAATGCTAATTATCCGAATATGTGGCTCTCATATGCTTCCTTTGAACAAGCATCATGGCAGACATATATCTCTTCTGTACAAACCATATTTTTAAACAACGAAGTTCATGACATAAAAGGGTTCAAAGGACATGAAGAACACTGATGATAATAAATGCTAAAAGCACAGTAGTTTCAATGTGAAAGGAGATGGCACTGGTAAAAACTGTACAATATTACTCTCATGCATGGGATGCCTAACAACATAAACAAAAACCGGAAAATGATATACTTTAGGGCTCGTTTGGTGCGAGGGATAAGGGATAACTAATCCAGGGATTAATTTTAGGATTAAGTTATCCCTGGATTAAGTGTTACTTTTATCCCACACTGAGGGTGAGATGACAATCCTGGGATAATTAATCTCGGGATAATTTGTTCCCGACCAAACTAGTCTTAAGAGATGAAAAAGAATAAGGAATTAGGACATGAAATCCAAGCATCCCATTATGTCCTAAGTAGTGTCACCTGAAATTCCAAAAAAGAGCTGAGGTCGGGACAATTCAAAGAGACGAGATAGCCTAAGGAAGTCCACAGCAGCTTAATGCACATATTTTACCTGTGTAGCATGCCCATTAGAGTCTGAGACAGATGTAAGATTACTGAGATTATGGATTTTTTTCTGTTGTTCAATGATGTTTTGTTCTCGCTCTTTCTGTGATCTTCTTTCCTCCTCCAATTCCATGGCAAGCTTCTCTCGCTCTAATTCATACTGATTAATGAATAATAAGCAGTCATGAGCTATGTCAATGCAAGATAAGATCAATCTTATACTCTTAAAAATAAAAAAATAGTTATAATAATTACCGTCAGTAGGTCATTTCTGAGTTTCAGTATCTCTTGCTCAAGCACCTCGGAATGTGATCCCTATGTAAGAGATATCATCCCATATAAGGAATTTCTAAGCACTTTATGAATGAATATGAATCCTGAGAGTCAAGACAATCACCTGAAGTTTCATGCGTAGTTCCTCTATTTCCCTTTTTTGTCGCTTTAATAAGGCTGCATCATTTAGTATCTACAAAGAAGTTGAACTATAATAAGCTCTGCCTTAAACGTCAAAGAAAGAAGCTAGTAACTAATAAGAAGTTCCATTATTTGGTTCCACTGGGAAAAAAAATCTGCAACAAAGGATTCTACAAGGATGAAACTTATGATTTGGAAGATAATGAAAATTAAGACCAGTTAACGAATGTTCTGTACTGCTTGTAGGCAAAACTCACCTCCCTTTTGCTTTAGATATTGGTGCTCAAATAGATGTTTTACACCATACTGTATAGTATCAATATACCAGAACAAAGATTAACTGTTGCAGCATTTAGGAACTTTCAGAAAAGCGAATCCTACTGGCAAAGATTTGTCAAGCCTTGGTTCTGACAGAAAAAGAATGAAGTGCCTAAGTGCTGAAATTGCATTGGAGCGTGATTTGAAATCTTTGAATGCAAGGCCTAGTGTCTTAGCAACTAATGTTAAACTAACCTTATTATAGTAACAGGTACACTTCTATTTACTGGAAAATACGTGACCATTAATCTCATTAAGTGTTCTCCAGAGTAGATCACAAAATAGTAATATCACAAAAAGGAAAAAGTAAATGGAGGCAGACCTCATTCACTTGAACACAGTTGGTGATCCGTTTAGCTCTGCTCGCAAACTGGAGTGTTCCCTTTGATTCCTCAATGTGAACCTAGACATATGTATTGAACTCTTTAAACTGATGTCCAATTGATTTTTTCTGCTGTCACAACATGGGCAATAACTACATTACCTCTTCGGGTGCTACTGTGCAAATTATTGAAGTTTTAGCATTGCCACCCAAAGCAGGTTGAAGAATGCGAGTGAGTTTACTGTCGCGGTAAGGAATGTGTCCCCTGCTCAAGTACATAATGAGTCACACATGTTCTATGCATGAACCTACATTCAACGGAGTTTTCAAAAACAACTACCTTTGCTTTCCACCTTCACTTAGTTTATTGATAACATTACCAAGGATCATTAGACTCTTGTTAATGTGTTTTCCTTCCTTCAATCGAACTCCCCCAGCTCCAGTTTTGGCAATCCGTTCAGACCCAGCTAAATCTACTAAATTCTAAATTCAGAGAGGTAAATGTTGACAAATTAGGATATTAAATGAAGGAAAAGGACTAGAAACATGATGGACCAGAAAGCTGAAAATGATAAGAATGTTTTGGATTTGGGATTCATGCCCTCCAATCGAATGGGCTTCTAAATTAACTACAACAAATCAAAACCAAATTATATGCATTTACTTCTTTAGTTGCACATAATAAGAACACAAGTCAGATGATTCAAAAGAACCAGACATTCAAAGTGACTTAAAAAGGATACAAACAACAAATACAAATTTTTGAGATTCTTTGAGAGATCTATTATTACTCAAACGTTTCATTAGAGATTTCTTGTAATCAATTCTAAGAATTTTATAACAACCCCCCCTACCCAAATTATATGCATTTAATTCTTTAGTTGCACATAATAAGAACACAAGTCAGATGATTCAAAAGAACTAGACATTCAAAGTGATTTAAAAAGGATACAAACAACAAATACAAATTTTTGAGATTCTTTGAGAGATCTATTATTACTCAAACGTTTCATTAGAGATTTCTTGTAATCAATTCTAAGAATTTTATAACAACCCCCCCCCCCCCAGAAATTAATATGCAATAATACATTGCTTCCAGAGAACTTGAAGAAATGAATACCAACCAAAACAGAGACACGAACAGCTTCATCAGGATTATGCTTTCCTTTGCTTTCGATTACCTGATTTAACAGAAAAACAAAGGTAAAAAAGTCACTCAACATTCTCATATAATAATTGGAGTCAATATACATAAGCATTCAGTGTAAATACAACCAATTTACAGTTGACTCGAGATTATTACCATCCTGAAGATGGTGTGAGATCGACTGCTTCTAACATTCATGTTAGTTTCACCAAAATGCCTGTTAACTGCAAAATTTATTCCCACGTGTATTGAATTGGTAACACAGATAAAAAAGTAACTACAATAATTATAATAATCAATAAAAAAGTAAACTGGTTCTGCAGAGAAGACAGTGTATTATTGTTCATGATGTCAAACCTTCTCCTCGCTGAATGAGCTCAAGTACTTGTTCAGCATCATTCACGATTTCCTCCCTCAGTCCTGCAACAAAAACCCCACGCTGGAAGAAAAAGTATATTAAGTTCTATTTGACATCAACATAGACTTTTAAAAGTATATGATGCACTGCCCATAACTTACATCCAAACTTTCATGAATCTGCAGTTTCTGGTTCTCTACAGCAAACAGATCATTAATGTCTTCATTGTAGATTTCCATATAAGAGACTCGAATCAGAAACTCCCTATTAGTCGTCTGAAAAACAAGAAGGAAAGTAAGTTGAAAAAGAAGAAGAAGAAGGAAGCTTTATTTGCAAATGCTACTAAGAACATACAAGTATAGAAACTGGAGAAACAGAATAATTTTATTCTACTGATAACATAAGATATTATAACAGTTAAAAAAAAGTAAATAAATACCATCTCAATTATCTGAAATATTTCATTGACTGCACGCTGGATGATTCCTGGATCATTCTGAGTACCATTCATAGTGAAAGTTTTTCCACTACTGGTCTGTCCATATGCAAAGGCAGTTCCTGAACATGATTTCAACTATAACATAAGTACCTTTTGAGGTTGAGGAAAGTGTAGCTCTAGAGATTTTTCACATGGAACTAATAACAAACACCATCTCTTCTCTAAACCAGAAAAGTTATTTCCCAAAACTAGTATTCAAATGACTACATAACAGATCAACTTGTTATAAGAATCCTTCACATAAGCTCAAAGCAGCAAAACCAGTTCCAATTAATTTGCTGCAAATGTTGATCAACAGATTAAGTTCTTCTGTATCTTCCTACTGAAATTGACAAATTTGTCTATGTGGAGTTAGATGTCAGTCCTCAGTCTTCCCAAAATACTCAAATTTAGCATGTTATTCCTTATGATCTCTGAAAATGTTATAACAATCCTTCAACATAAAGCTCAAAGCAGCAAAACTGGTTCCAATGAATTTGAGAATTCGGCAAATGTTGATCAAACAGAAGAAACACATTGATTAAGTTCTTCTGTATCTTCCTACTGAAATTAACAAATTTATTTAGGCGGAGTTAGCTGTCATTCCTCACTCATTCCAACAAGTTGAACTTCAGTACACTATTCCTTATAACCTCAAAGGACGTTACCTTTAAGCAAAACAATTAAGTTAACTAAATCAAATCTATTTCTGCTACAATTACAATTGCCTACAAAGAAAAAGCTGAAAGGAGCTCAGACATTAAACAAAACAACAGAATGAGCATACCATTGAAACCTTCAAGAGCAGCACGAATAACGTCCTTAGTAAGTAGGTCATAAACCCTAGCATTCGAACAATCCTGATCAAAGACATGATCTGCAAGAAATATCAAATACAACAGATTAAATCAACACTCAACAGGTCAAAATTCTACTTCAAGTTCAACAAAACAATACCGAAAGTGTAGGAGACGCCGGAAATTGGAGTGCCGAGGGACTTGTGAAGAGAAATCCGATTGTCTTCAACCTTCCAGAAGGTTCCATTGAAGTTTTCTTCGTTACTTCTCGCAGGTCTCACTCTCACTGCTACGCTCACCTTCTCCATTTCTCTCTCACGCAAAAGCTGGATCTGATTGGGGATTACAAAATTTGATAACGGCTATAGGCTTTATGAGCGGGGTTTCATTTGAATCATTTCTAAGCGTTGAACTTTGAATTTAGTTTTTTCTTTCACAGAAATACCCTTGTTCCTGTCTAGTATTTACAAGTTAAATTTGATGGGCTGGTGGTTTGGGCCTTTGGGCCATCAGGTGTTAGGGATGGCCCAATGGATCGATATTCAGAGTCCGAAAAATAATGAGTAACTTTCATATATAACGAACATAAAAATCATATTTGTATAGTTATACTATGCATAATTGCGCTCTATAGCAACTATAAATATGTATGTTTTGCGGTACATATACAAAAAAAGACAGATGTATAATTCGCTATACATATACAAAGAAATCAGTTGTATAATTTGTTATACATATACAAAAGAAAACAGTTGTATACAAAAGATCAATTGTATAATTTGTTTATGTATAAAATGAAAAAGAGAGAAAGATAAAAGAAAGTTGGGCGGGGGAATACTTGTATAGTATAATTATAACTATATAGGACGAAGATATATGTATTTGCATGTGTATGTACAATTTTCTCTCACTTTATACAAACAGAAACACAATTTATACATTTCGATCTGTTTTATAAGCGAGAGAAGCGAGGATGGAGAGCAAGATCTGGATGAGGGGAGAGAAGGGAACGAAAATGTATGTATATATACATTTTTCTCTCGCTTTATACAAATGCATATACATTTTATACATTTGTGTTTGTACAAAAGCAAGAGGGAGCAAGCGAGATAATGAGCGAGAGAGGGAGAGTGGCAAGCGAGATTTGAGATGGCTGACAAACGGTTTGCTATAAGGCACAATTAAATCAAAGTGTAGCTATAACATTTAATTAAATTATTAATTTACCATTATATACAATTTTCCCAAGAATAATTACATGTTTTGCTCATCAAATGAGCTCGTCTTTATTTTTGTATTTTTAACAATTGAACTTATGTCTATTGGGGTATAAACTAATGCTTAAATAGGTATAAGTTCTTAAAAACTGAAGCCACACTCAAATATATAAACGTATATCCCGCAAAATGTTACGAGAAAATTAGAGACCCACACACAATAGGGAGTTTTTTGAAGTTTCACATATAAAATTTTTGAAGTCTAGCAAGTAACAAATTGTATTAGAGTCTCCTTTATTTCCCAAAATCTTTTTTTTTTCCCTTTTTGGGTCCATGTGAGGGTTCATAAAGTATTAGAACCTTAATACTAGAGTAGGGCTCTCTTACTTTTCCAAAAAAAAAAATAATCTTAGCATAAAATTATGTATAATTAATACAATGTGGGGTTGCTCTTGCTCTTAACATTTGATTCATCATTTTGATTTTTCCATTTATAAGTTGAGTGGTAATTTGTCCTTATTATTTTATACACGATAGAATGTCAAATAATTTATTTGTAATCTTGATAAATCGTAAATGCTGCTATTTAAATAAAATTGGACATTAATAATAATAATAATAATTTCAATAATAATAATTAATTATTATTGTTATAATAAACATGACTTGGCACTAATTTGATGAAAAACACAACAAATTATTGGTTATGTTAAGCATTCTTATATCACCCGACACCTTTTAACAAGCTAAAGGGAAAAAAAAGAAGAAGTAAAGTTAATTCCTTAAATTCTTCTTAATCTGTGGACTGAACTAATTCTCATATACTTCAATTTTCTCTAATCTTTTTTTATATAATTGTGGAGTTTAGATCAGGTTGCGCTCACTAATTTCAAAAATGTTGGTCAGATAATTATTTTATTCATCAAAACTAGATAAATAAGCATAGTCAGTACTTTAATATTTATATGTCGCAGAATTTTATTTTAAATCAATGAGGAGAAACATACTGGTATCACCAACAAAGAACCTATTTAGAAGCATCTTATAACCCTACGAAAAGTGGTTTTATCACTAGGGAAAGTGCAATATTATCACCCCAAATTAAATGGGAAAAAAGGCAAAGCAAAAGAAAAGAAAATCATACAAATCACTAAGGTACAAAATAAAGTTTTTAATTTATTATAATAAATAAACGAAGAAACATACACACATCTTTGTTGGTATCTATCATAGTATATCATATTGCAATCTTTATTTTAGTTGATAAATTCAACAATATCACTCAACTCTTCTCAAACTTAGTCAAAAAGGATAGAAAAAAAATTGACACTTTGAACTTTTCCTTTTTGCTACCAAAGAACTTGGACTGACCACAAAATTATTAAGGCATGGCCCATTGAACACGTAGCTCCCCTAGAAATTGGAAGGAAATTGTAGCCAAAAATTAAAGGCCAAACTTTCATCATTTTTAGATAATAATGTTAATTGCTACCGTTAAAGAACGGCAGAGGATTAAATATATCTCTCTACTATTACAAATAGTTTATATATATATCTCTCGTTATACTATCGAGCTAAATATGTTCTTACTGTTATGCTTTGGATCAAATATACTCCTTATTAGAGAAATATTTGAATCTCAATTTTAAAATAGACAAGCGGAGGGTTGTGATTAATTTGAAGTGCACATAAACAACCACCCAAAATAACTCATAACCCAACCCAAATAAAGCTTCTAATATCAACATACAACAATGAATTTCAAGCACCATGCCAGTTGAACTTTTAAAAAATTCAAAATTAAACCTAGACAATGAACTTAATAAGAACAACATATAGTGAACTATTTTTAAAAAGTTTTGGAATTTTCTTTCAACGTTTTGTATTTTTAATTGGCAAAACAAATGAAAACAGTAATTATAAAAACCAATTTCATGTACTGCGTGAAGCTTATCAATAAGTAATATTTTTGACAAACAATTGGTTGTGCTTTTGTTTGCTTATAAATGAGTTTGGGCAAAAAAGTGTTTAAGTGGATTATTTTGGGTGTTGATTTGGACAAAAGGATAGGAGCACTTTTAATTAATCTTAACCTTCCACTTGTCTATAGATTGAGATTCAAATATTTAATGGTCGAAGGGTATATTTGGTCTAAAGTATAACGGTAAGAGTATATTTAGTATGAAAGTATAACGAAGGGTACACATAAACTATTTGCAATAGTATAGGGTTATATTTGACCCTTTTTTGACTAAAGAATGCGGTTCAGTTGATAAAGTTATTTCTCTCTTAATCAGAGATTTCGAGTTAGATCATTGAGTTAAAAAAAAATCCTTTCTAAAGGGCATTTGTGCCAATGCAAAATAATTGAACTCCACCAATATGAATATGAAACACCAAAAAATGTTAATTGCTACTACTAATTTCATGAAACTAAAACACACCCCTTGTGAATATGATTGTGAACAATATATCAACATTTTAACCAATATTATATATATGAGCCCATAATTCCAAGAGTGGATTTTAAAGATTAAATTCTATCAGATTTAAACCTTGATGATCTTTATATAATCAGAAGCAGAGTTAGTATTTATACATATTTAATTAATACTTATGTCTCCACCCTTTGTATAATAATTTATTAAAAATATTTGTGAATCGTTTGATTATCAGGATTAAAATACGTATTTTAATATATTTTAAAATTGTAATAGCGTTATTATCCACAATTTAGTTGTTGAATTAGCTAATATTGATACAATTGTACTAAAATTTTGGTATTAATTATTTATTTCATATAAAAATATATAATTATATTTTACTCGAAATCATAATCTTAAGATAAAAAAAAAAAGAAACGACTCCTTCGTGTACATCTATGATCCATGTATTATAATTTATTGATACCTAGGTGCTAAGTGGTCTTTGTCTTCCCCTTTAATTATTATACCAACTTTTTCTCTCTTTTTCTCTTTGGCCTTATGGAAAATGTCAGTGATTCATTATAATTAAGAAAATCATGGGAAATCTCCTTGTGCATTGCATGCATATATTCATTTATTTTCTAATGTAACATTATTAAGAGGAAATACAATGTATAAACCTAATTTAGAAAGATGACTCTTCCACTCAAGCACTTAAAATAGTTTGATTTTACATAGTTGATTATAATTAGTGGCACGATATAGTTTAATTTCTAACTTTATGTTAAAGTTGAAGTTGTTTTGTTTATAACAATACGGTAACTTTTTAGACGTTTAAAACAAAATACTTTATGTGCCAATATAAAGTTTGATCACTAAGAAAATTGAGTGTCAGAACCCCAAAAGGGAAAAAAACACAAAACAATAAATTACTACTTATGGTATTAGAAGAATACTGATTTAATTTGTTCTAAGGACATCAATTACTATTCTCTTTAATAACTTCATTTTTTATTTTATTTTTTTGTTTCAAAAGGAATTATCGATACTTATTAAATTTGGAAACTCTTTAGGCTTAACTTTTTATTTTTTTATGACTCGAAGACTAACGTCGTGTTGAATCCATCCAATTGTTTTAGTCAACTTTAGCTATTCAATTGATACAAGCAATTGTTAAAAATGAATAGTAATCGGAGTTGAAAAGAAAAGATTTGGTAGTTGGCAAATTGGTAAGATTTGCAACCATTTTTGACTTTGTTATGTTTACATATGTCATTAGTGACATAGGTATGATTTTATCCTTCTATAAATAGAGCATTCTTGTTCATTTGTAGAACAAGTTAGAGAGAAAAACCATTTTAAGAGCAAAGTGAGGTATTCCATAGACTATATAAGAAAATAGTCTGTGAAGAAAAAT